CACCTACCAGTGTTTATGACAGACACGAATCAGTGCACGGAGCAGCATCTGAGCCTGTGATTCCCGTCATCATCTACGTAAACACCCTTCTTCGCGGAGAGAGTGGCGCGTCAGATACACAGACTCACTCTGGCCTCGTATTGCACAGGTCCAGGGGAGGCGACCGTTCGGGGAGGAGGAGAACGATAACGCCGGGGAGGGCGCAAACCGCCCTCCACCGGGCCGGGGGGGGGGGTGGTCAGGGAGGGCTGAGGCGTTGCAACGCCAGATCCAAACACCATTCTGCATCCAATCGACTATCCAAAGGGCCTCCTTCCCGCTCCCCGGCCGAGCTGCACCCAGCCCGAGGGGGCGCGCCAGGTCCCGCGTGCGTGCGCGCCTCCACGCCCTGGCGTGGCCAAGCTGACACCGCGGCTGTCGCCCTTAGCTGTGTTCGTGCTGAGCCTCGTTGTAGTCCATGATGCAGAGCTGTCCAGCACTGTCCGGGGTGAGGGGAGACGGGTGCCGGCCACCAGGGCCCAGGGGGGTCTTGGCCTCCGCCCCCGAGTCCGTGCCCGGTTCTGTCTTTGGGGTCTCAGAAAGGTGACTGGCGGCCACGCCGTCCTTGTCGCACTGGCTCTCACTCTTGATGCGGAACAGCTCTCGGGCCCTCATGCCCAGGAAGCTCTTGGAGCCGGGCAGTGAGCCGACGGTCGTGGGGATGCTGCAGGCCGCGGGCTCGGCCGCGCCCGTCTCCCACCGGCTGCTGAAGGGGCCCGCCCTCTGGCTGGGGGGCTTCTCTGGGGTGGAGAGCTCGCTGCTGCTGCCGCCGCCCCCCCGGACGCCGCCGGCACGCAGGGCCTTGGTCTCACCGTTGCGGCCAGGGGCCTCTTCGCCGTGCCCAAAGGCAGAGTCTGAGCAGCCGTCACGACAGCCGTCAAGCCTGGACGAGCTGGGGAGGCGGGGGGAGGGGGCTCAGTGTCTGTCGAGGGCGACCCCTGCTCACTGGACCTGGGCCCCACCCTGTCTCCTAACGCCGGCTCCACCGCCAGCGGTCTGCCAAGCCGTGGCTGGGAGGGGCCGACGATGCGCGCCCCAGACCGCAGGAGGCGGCCCGGCCGGGCGAGGCCGCGGGCACGCCGAGAAAGGCGGCTGGCAGAGCAGCGGCCTGCGGCGCCCCAGCCCAGCAGCCCTGTGTGAGCGCAGCCCGGCCAAAGCCCCATGCCGGCCCCGGGCCCACCTTTCCTCCGCCGCTTCGGCTGCTTCTGTTTTCTCTTCAAGTTTTTTCAGGAGGCCGTCTTTCTCCAACCTGCCGTATAAGTCCAGGATCTCCAGCTCGAACACCTGGGTGATCTTTTTCTGTGCCTCATACCTGCTCTCCGCCGCCTGCAGCTGGTCTCTGAAAGACAGGGGCCACTCGGAATATGGGCCTTCCACTGAGAAGGGAGCACATCAGGGCGATGCCTCCCCGACCAGCTACCTTGCCTGGGCCTTGACATCCTCCAGGTATTTCTTCTGCTCCAGAAAAAGGTGGTCTTTCTTGGCCAGGTGCGCCTCCAGCTCCAAAATGCGCTTCTGGGAGGTGTCAAGCCTCTGACTCTGCTGGAGGACGTGGCTTCTGTTTTTCTCTAGTTCTTTCCGATAGGCAGCTTTCATCATCTCCACTTCCTGCAGAAAGGGTTGAGGAAGCATTTTCAGAAAATGAGCGCGCCCTGCGCCTGCCAAGATGCCAAGGGACAGGCGTGAGGCGGCCCGCGGGACGCTGCTCGTGCACATCAGCTGGTCCAGCTTTCTGGAACGGACGCTGGCAGGAAACACTAACCTGATAACCTCGCTTGAAATCTCTCCCTACGGAAATCATTGAAACATGGAAAGAAATAAAAGACGCAAAAGCCATCAGCGCTTATTCCTAAGAACAAAATCCAGAAACACGGAAATCCAGTCAGGAGTCACTGGCTACACTTCACACCTACCAGTGTTTATGACAGACACGAATCAGTGCACGGAGCAGCATCTGAGCCTGTGATTCCCGTCATCATCTACGTAAACACCCTTCTTCGCCAAACATCCCATGAGAAACATGTTGGCAGTGCAGCGAGCCCGTGAGGTGCCAGGGGCCCTTGCGCCTGGGTGTGTCCGTGGTGTGCGATGTCCAGGGGCCTGTGCGTGCCGACCCAGTAAGCACAGGCAGCAAGGTGGGCTTCCCCAGAGACCCCGCCGCGGGCTGGGCACTCAGCGGGACTGAGCCCGTGGGCACCGACGGCCACGGCAGCCCGCTGAGCGAGGCCTGCAGACCCGCCCGGTCAGGCGGGCACACCCGGCCTTGGCCTGCTGCGGTGGAGAGTTAGGCGCAGTGCAAGGAGAGGCCCTGCGCCGACACCCCGAATCTCAACACCCACCCTCCTTCCCGGCAGACTGAGCAAGAGGAAGCCAGCTCCAGGGCCGGGCGAATCCTGCCAGGTTCCAGGCCACGACTGGGCTAGCGGTGGCGGGCACACAGCTCCATCCAGCCAGTGCGGCAGCGGGCAGCCCTGGCCTTGGAGAGCGTGCCGCACCCCGGGAACGGGAAGAAGGACCACCCCCGTGCTGAGTGCCACGCCTGGTCTGAGGACAGGCAGCAGGACTGGTCAGGCAGCGCAGAAGACGCGAGAGCCAGGCGCTTGCCGCCGCCCCCGCTCAGCTGCCCTCACTTCTCGCTAAGGAAAAGCAGCTCCACGGGGCCGGCAGGCTTGCGCTCGGGCCGCATACGGGGGAGCGGCCTACCACTGTCCAGAGCACCCCCACTGCAGGAAGAGCCCCAAGGGGGCAGGCGTGTTCCGAGAGAAACACAGACCCCGGCAGCGACTGACCCAGCACCCCTCGCTCGGGAGGGGGAGGGACACACTTGAGGAAACTTTTTCAAGGTCCCCCAGCTTGCCTGCCGGTCTCCCCTCGGGTTTCTTTTCCCAAGCTCTTGAACTTCCAGAATGAGAGCCAGCGTCTCCCCTCGCCACCCCTAAAGCAAGTCCAGGAGTGAGCGCCGAGCAGCCGCTTTGCTGCACCCCGCCGGAGGGCGTCGCGCAGGGCCAGCGCCTCTGCCCATCAGGCCTGCGTGTGGGTGGGCGGGGACGGGGCCCCCGCATCTGGGCACTGAAGAATTCCAGCCCCAGCTTGCCCACATCACCCGAGCGAGGCCCCAGCAGTACCGCAAAAGCGTCTCAACACCAGTGGTGAGCCGCGAGTTACCGCAGGACCGCCCAGCTGGCCTTGTGGCCGGGGCTGAAGCTTCATCCCGCTCCACGTTCAAAGGAAAAAAGGCTGCGCACAGCTGACCGAGCCGCAGCCCCTGGGGCGGACCCAGGCCTGGGGGTGCAGCGCTGGCTCCCGCCTCTCCCCCTCCCGAGGGGGCGTGGCCAAGAGGAGGACACCTGTTTCACCTGCTGGGCGCCAAGGCTCACCGCGTGCTCTCAAATACCTGACCTGACCGCACCGCGGCAGCTGGGGTGCAAGCTCAGGGGAAGGCACGGGGCGGACCTGGCACCCCAGCGCCCCGCGGACCCGGGCGTACCTTCGAGGTGTCCGAGTGTTTGTTCTGCAGCTGTTCCAGGTACAGCTCATTGACCTCCCCGAGAACCAGCAGCTGTCTGTTCAGGAACTCCATCTGCTGCTGCACCGACTCGCTGTTGGAGAGCTGACAGAGCACAGGCAAGCAGTGAGGCCCAGTGCACAGCGGCTGGCACCGGCAGGCGGAGCTGTGAGCCGCAGCTCTCCGCAGCTGGCGCCGAACACGCAGCTCCGGGCCTCGACTCGCAGCGCGAGGACAGGCTGACAGAGCATCCGCAGATGACGGGGGGACGGGAGCAGCCCCCACTGTGGGGACACTGGGGATGAAGCCCCAGGAAAACCACCAATCTGGGGCAAGCAGTTTATAGATGCAGTGAAGGCGGAGCTCCGCGTTCTGAGCTTGGCTGCATGTCGCTCCGTGGGGACCCCGCGGGACAGCCCGGCCCAGGCTGCAGCTCGGCGGTGACACCCGCCCGTGTTTAGCAGCTGCCCGACCGCTCCCTTGACACAACAGCTTCCGGGAGGTCGGCCAAAGGTAGCGCTGGACAGTGCCAAGGCCCCCGGGGCTGGGGGCAGGGTCCCACCCTGCAGGGAACCCTGAAGAAGACACATGAGCGGCCCATTTGTGCAGGCGGGGGGAGGACAGCGGCCTTCTCACCTTCTGAGAAACCTGGCTGAGCTGCAACTCCGTGCGGCACACCTTGCTGCTGGCTTTCTTCAGCTCCACACGCAGCTCCGCGGTCATGTTCCTGCAGTCCTCCAGCTTTGTCTGCCGGAGACACCCGCGCGGACGTCAGCCGGGCAGCAGGCCGCACCAGCCTCCCAGACCGTGGCCCCGGAGGATGTGGAAAGCACAGTCTTCAGTTGCTCTACTACGCTTGGGCCAGCAAGATTTAACTTATGTTCTTAAAAATACTGATTTATTCATGCACACAGAACTGGGGCACAGTCCGAAGGTGTGGGGAGTAAGGGGACGCACCAGAGACACGGGGAACAGGATCAACAAAGTCCACTGCCGAGGGGAGCGGCAGGGAGCCAGCAGAGGGCTGCCAGGCACGTGGGCCAGCTCCGGGGCCGAGGATCGAACTCACACTGCAGCGGCTGTGGCCGGCTTGCAGTGCTGCGCTTTAACCCACTGCGCCACCAGAGAGGACCGTGAACTTGTTAGTTTTAAAAAGTTATGGCTGGGCCCTCCTTGGTGGCGCAGCGGGTTAAAGCGCAGCACTGAGAAGCTAAAGCCACTGCAGGGTGAGTTCAATCCCCGGCCCGGGGGTGACCCACCTGGCGCGGCAGACCCCTCCTGACCCGCCCGCAGCTCCCCTCAGCAGTGCGTTTCTTTGATCTGCCTGTTCTGCTCCCGGCTCTGTCTCTGGTGTATCCTCTCACCGCCCCCGCACCTCTGGCCTGTGCCCCAGTTCTATATGCATAAATAAATAAATATTAAAAAAAAAAGTTATGGCTAATGTCTAAGTTCCCAACCATTTAAAAAAGGGAAAAAAGGCCTTACACCCACAGATCCCAGACTGCCCCAAGACATGAGGTTCCAGGCAAACGTGCTGTGTGTGTATCTGGAGCTTTCTGAGGGGGCACAGCGCCACCTGTTGGTGGCTGGGAGAACCCCGAACTAGAGCAAGCTGCCTTTCATTCTTGGCTAGTGCTGGTGCCAGGCGAGGTCTTTGCCAAAGCTGGTCATTGCCAACCTGGGCTTTAACGCTGCCATGGTAAAAACCACCGCTGAAGCGGGATGAAGGTGTCAGAGCCCGGCCTGACGCGGTCTGGCCCCTGCAGGACAGACGGGAGCACAGCGGCCTGTGCTCACAAGTGTTGACCGAACGTACAGACGGACGTGCGTCGGCGTCGTCGTTATTATTTTCAAACAGCTACTAAGTTATCAGGACGTAAACACTCGCTGTCCAGCTCTACCAGGTGAGCAGAACTGGTGGTGTTCCCACCGCGCAAGTGCCAGGAAACCACCCCCAGCACAAAGGGAAGCAGCGAAGCCGGGCGCCGCCCCGGCAGGGCCTGGAGAGAAGTACTCTGTCTGGCCTCAGAGAGCCAGACCCCAGACCCTCACCCCGGCGCGCACCTGCAGCTCCTGGCTCTGGTTGTAGAACTCCTCCTGGTTGTGCTGCAGCTGGCGGGTCTGGCTGTGGAGTGGGCGACCACCGTGTCTCGCTGCTCCTGCAGATGCGTGTACCTGGCCTGCTCCTTCTGCAGACTAACCTTCCACGCCTGGATGTCCTTCTCCTGCAGCTTCAGCTGGTCTTTCTAGCAGAGACGGGGCGCCAGCGCTCAGCAGCCCCCCAGACATGCAGCCGATGGCTCACCTGAACAGCCCCCACCGCCCCCTCCCTCAAACTCACGAGGGGCCAGAGCCTGGCAGATCACCGCCATCTAATGGCTCAGGCCAGGGCTTTTCAAATGTCACATTAGAAAGTAGACAGAATGTTGCTGCTTACAAAATTTTCCCAGGCTCCAGTGCTAAGCTCCACCCTCTAGATTACAGCGCTGACTTGGCCCTGGGGACAGGGAACGCCGGGCATCCCAGCCAGCCAGGGAGATGTGCGGAGCCGGCCGCACCGACGTCCCTCTAGCCAACAAGGCGGAGGTCAGCGCTGCTCTCAGCCCTCCCACCGTCCAGAACGGGCGACAGAGGCGCCGAGAGTCTAGGCGGTTCAAGGAGACATCCGCCAAGGGCGGGCTGCAGCCGACAGGCTTCAAGGCTGCCCAGTTTATGCCACCAGACAGGCTCGGCAGAGCTGCCCCACTGGGCGGCAAGTTCTGTGCGGCGGCACGGCCACAGGTGCGCAGGCGCCTCTGCCCCGCCCCGCCTCAGGCAGAGCCTCGCACCAGGACCCAGCTCAGACGCGACAGCTCCGGCTGCAGTCCAGCAGCGGGCCAGCCGGGACCCAGAGGCCGCTCGCTGCTGCGGGCCGGCGGCTCACCATGGCGGCGTTGTGCTCCTCCAGCGCCGCGGCCTTGACCACCTTGCGCAGGAGCCACCTGTTCCGCAGCGCCTGTTCTGCTGCCTCTTAGAGCGCTCTAGAGCAGCTGGTTGTGCAGCAGGAGCAGCTGGTTCCTGAGGGCCTGGACCTCGTCCGAGGGAGGCGCGCCTGAGGAGGGAGCGGGGACGAGAGGGGCCTCTCAGCCGCGGCACCCAAGCCCCACTGTGGTCTGTCAGCCGAAGACACATTCTCTTAGGGAGAAACCCCCACACCCTGGGAATGGCCACTCGGCCCCCCCGTCCCTCTCCGGTGGGGGTAACGTGGGACAGTCTGCAGCGGTGGCCCTACTCCCCCTGATACCTGGGCCATGGCCGCACACATTTCGGCTTTCCCGTCCCTTCCCCGGCACACCCCAGAACCTCCCGCGTCACTGACTTCCCAGGGGCCCCAGCGTTGGCAGGCTGCGTGCCCCAAGCCCCGCGGCCAGAGGGGAGCGCAGGGAGGCACTTCCTGGGGACACTTCCCACAAGGACAGGAAAGGCCACCGGCCCGGGGTCCCCATGGAGGACCTGGCGCTAGAGAACAACTTTACCTCCAAAGTGGGTCCAGTCCACAGACTTGCTGGGTAAAGACAACCTAGGAAGAAAGTTACTGAGTAACCACGGTACTGATCTGCCTTGTGCAAGTGCCTGGACTTAAGCACAGCGGGTCAGCTCACTTCCTCGGGGTGAGGAGTGGCAGCGGCTGGGAAGTGGAACTGGCGCGAGAGGCTGAGCCTCACAGGCAGCAGGGCTGTGGCCGCGACCAGCAGCCCAGTCCCCACTCAGGCAGGCTGCGGTCAGCTCTCCCGGCGGGCAGCGGGTGGCCTCGAGCACACGCACTGTGCCGCGGGCACTGGGGACCCTCCGCAGAGGTGTGAGGGCGTCTGCGGGAGAAGCAGGCACCTCGCCTACTTCAGCCAATTTCACTCAGAGAGCTCATAGCGCACAAGCTCGTCAAAGCCCACCTCGGGAGGTCATAAAGACCAGAATCGGGAACCCCTGAGCAGACGAGGAGGGCCGGGAGACCCTGAGCCGCAGCGCCGCGCGCGGCCTCACTCGGCCGGAGGAGCCAGGCCACCAGAGGAGGCAGACGGTGCGGCCGGAGGGGCCACGCTGGCGTCACGTGCGCCACCGGCATCCCCCGCCCACGTTCCCCACGCCAACGGGAGCTTGGCCAGATGTCCTCGGAGCGGTGGCGCGGAAAGCTGCGCAGACAGGCCCCCCACGGCCCTGCGTGGCCGGAGGGCTGAGCAGCGACACCCTCGCCCCGGCGCCTGACGGGCACTGGGCGGCTGGAGCCACGGCCCTTACTTGCTCAGCTCCTTGCTGTGGGCCTCGGCGCCCTGCTGTATCAGCCTGTCCAGCACTTCCGCCGGGGAGGTGGAGGGCGTGCAGGCGTCCTCGGCGTTTCCTTTTGCTTTCTTTAAGAGTTCCTCCGTCTTCTTGCTGACAAAATGATGGGCAGTCTTTGGCAAGGCCACCTCAAAAAGATGATCGTAGGGGGGAGGCTGCCCACTACCAAACCCCACTCCCCTCTGAGGCGGAATTTTACAAGGGCTGGGAGTGAGGATGCTGGTCTCCAGGGAAGGCTGGCGCTCCCTGCTGCCGGCCGGGCTCTCGTCGGCGCCGCCACAGGGCAGGTCTATGGGCGTAAAGGCTTGCTTTGGTGTGTCAGGCCCAGACTTGTCCAGGGGAGCGCTTAAGGGCTCAGGGTTCACACTGGTGCCGGGAGCACTGGAGGTGGCTGAGGGGGCCTTCCGCGGACAGCCCGGGACGCTGTCTCGGTAGAAGGGAGAGTCGAAGCCCCCCCGAGGAACCAGGGGCTCGGTGTCGGCTGTTGTGAGCTCAGAAAGTTCTTTAGATATCGCCGCTGTGGAGAAAGGGGAGACAGAGGCACCCCGTGATGAGCCAGCCGTGGGGCAGCTGCACCTCCCACCCAGCGGGGCTAAAACAAAGCCGCGCCTTTCCTGGCGCAGGACCCAGAGCGGCACTCCCGTCTCCCCCAAGAAAGAACGGCCGGGCCGCCCGGAGCAGACCTGGAGCCTGCCACGGCAGCAGGGCCGTGCCACTGGGGCCCAGAGCCCCCTCACCTTCTTCTCTGTCCTTTTCGACACTGTCTTCTTCAGAGGCCAGGCCGCCCAGGAACCCGGGAAGGTCGCGCAGTGTGACGGAGCCTTTGCCACCAGGGAGCTCTTCTAGAGGCGAGCAGAGAGCAGTCTGCAGGGCCCCGCGGCGTCCCCGGCGCCCTGCCCACCAGCCTCGCCATGCCTGCAGGGCCCTGCCCGCCGGCGAGAAGCTGGAAGCGCTCTCTCCCGGCGACCTCAGCGCACCAAGGTGCCCGACACAATCACGCAGGGGGCTGGGAACATAATCAGCCAGAAACACTCTGCCAGTCAGGGCTCAGAGAACAGATAGCCCCACAGCCTGACCAGCCAGAATGTAGGTCACTTCACTTCAACAGCTTAAAAGTCTCTTTTTGATGGTATTGGGTTGGCTGAAGAGTGAATTGCACGTCGTTTCTCTAGGTTTCTGGAACCCCTGGTTTCCACTGAACTTTGTTCCCGTGCACAGGGGGGCTCCCGTCACCCGACTTACCTAACCCTCGGTCATGGGGAGGATGGGGCGGTCTGTGGAAACAGGGCCTCGCAGCTTCTGTCTTCTCTTCCTGAAAGACAGGCACTGGTCACACCGCGCGGTGGACCCTGGACGTGCTCTCCGGACAGCCTAACTCCGCAGCGTCAGCACCCCACCGAGGAGCCTGCAGGTCAGCGCGGTGGGGTCCAACAACTTGGTCTCGGCGCCTTTACGTTCTTAGAAGTCAGTGGGAATCTTGAGTCGTCGTTTATGAGACTATATCCACTGGCAGTCACATTTTTTGCAATTAAAATGGAAACTTTTAAAATCTTAATGTGCTTGAAGATAACAAACCCATCACGTGTAAACCTAAACAATGCATTCTTAAGAACAGCTACAGTTCCCAAAACCAAAGTAACTTCAGGGGAAAGCACGGCGCGCTGCACGGCGGCCCCTCCGTGGCTCCGGCTTGGCGGAAGGCACCATATGCGTGCGCCTGCTGCACTATGTTCTTCCAGCCAGAGGGGCAGGCAGAAAGTTGGGGTCCCAGGAAGGTGGTGCCCTTACAGCCGAGTGTAGACCACCATGTCGGTGACGACACCCAACGCAACAGGTGGTCACCTCTCAGGGTGGCCGTGGGGCACACCGAGCCACAGCAGCCTTGGGACGCTGGCCTCCACCCTCCCTGGACGCCCCTACACCCCCCGCAACACCCTGACAGCCCACGGTGAGCGTTACGGCCTACGACGGGCTTTCAGACGCTGAAAAGTGAGGACACCAGGAACTCAAAGCATTAGCCAAGCCTCCCAGGACTTGGGGGCTCGTCGTGAAACCTAGGGGCGGCTCAGGGGCAGAGGCCTGCCAGTGCTCTCACTTCCCTGGGAGCTGGACCCTCCCCGGGGGCCAGCGAGGCCAGCTGATGGCCTGGAAGGGCCCCCCAGCTCCGGAGCCAGCACCCGCCAGGCCCTGGAGTCTGAATCAGCCTGGCGGCGCTGCCGCCACAGGACGAGCTGCGGCGAGGAGGCCGCCACCGGGCGGGCGCCACCTCCCAGGGGCGCCAACCCGACACGGGCGCAGTGAGTGTGCTCCCTGCCTGCTACGGGACGCTCTCAAGTTGTCGGTTTTGTCTTCTCCCTTCTTCCAGCTGCAAGAATTTGACCCGCAAGAAGAACATGGCGCTGACCGATCCAGCCTCGACTCAGGCTGACCAGGCAGGCCGCAATGCAGGCTCAGGGACCGGCCGCTGTCTCTGCACACAGAGGCTCCCACGCCAGAGTCAGAGAGCAGACACCAGGCGCTGTGACAGGCGCGCTCTGACCCGGGAGCCCCAGCCCGGTGCGGAGCCGCAGGGGCAGAGCCCAGTGTCGGGAGCAGCTGGCTGGTCTCCTTCATTGCTGTGATTCAAGTCATCACTTCCTGGGTGAAAAGATGAGCTCGACAGGCCCCCGGCCGGAGCGGCCAGGTCACGCGTGCTGGGGCAGAGCGCCGAGCCTACCTTCTTGGGGGTCGCGGCCTGCGGCGGTGCGGCGTGCATGCAGTCCTCAGAGTGGCAGGGCGGGGCTGGGGGCGGAGAGGTGGCCGGGGTCCCCAGGGGGGTGCCTTTCCCACCTGCCAGAGGCGGACAGAAAACACAAGCTGGCTTAGCCTAGGAAACACTGTCCATTCTTCCCCACTGACCGCTGTAGAGAAAGCTGCTAGCGTTACATTTCCGGGAATCCAGATGAGCTGGCTTTCTGTTTCGTGGGAGGCCCGCGACACAGGTTCTGAAAGCCCCGAGGCTTGCATTCCATGTCAGAAGCAGGCAGACTCCCGCAAGTGCCCCCAGCTCACCACTGGGCTGCGAGAAAGTGCCGTCACGAGGGGCAAGCCGGGCCCCAGCAGCCAACAAGCGCAGCCCAAGACGCACGTACCAGCTGTGCCAAAGGCTTTGCCGCACGGGTGGGGCAGCTCAGGCGGGACGTTTCCAGGAGAAGTCGGCGGAGTGGTCATACCACAAACCACAGACGGGCTCCAAAGAGCGGCCTGGAAGATAACGAGGCATGTCAGTGACCAAGAAGCACGCCCGTCACCGCAGGGCCAGGCTGTGACGTGAGCCACTTTAAACCACAACTGTTCTACCAGAAAAAGGCGAGAGCAGAGCCCACGAGACAGCAGGCACTGGCCAGGCTGGGCCGCGGGAGGCCCCAGCGGCGAGGGCCCTGCTGATACTGTCTCAACGCAGCTCCTGAGCGAGCCGTGCGGGCCCCTGGCACACACCACCGCCTGGCCCCGGGCAGCCTCCCAGCCGCAGAGGCGAGCAGGCGCGGCCTGGCACCGTACTTGTGGCGGCTCAGCTAGCAGCCGTGTCAAGGGGGAGCTCAGACTCTGAGGTAGCTGCCCTGGCGTGTTCAACGTCAGCCGAGGAGTGGAGAAAGGGGTAGAAGCAGCACTCCCTAAAGGAAGGGAGAGAACACAGGGTTAGCGTGCGGCTTCAGGTCCCAGGTCGCCAGGAACAGTCAGACCTCTACACTCAAAACACCTGCGTGGTGCGTGGCCATGTCAGGGTCAAAGCACCACTGCCAAGGGTCTTTAACCTGCTCTGGGACACAGGGCAATCAGGGCGAGCGGTTGAGCACACCACGGCTGACCCATCAGGGTCGGGCCACGGCCGGGCCCTGCGCCCAACAGAGCAGGCACAGGCAAATGGCGTCAGTGCTGTGGCTTCCCAAGCGTCGAGACCAGAGCCCAGAGCCGTTTCTTTGAGTCCAGCCTCGGAGCCAGACGCTGGGCGCCTTTCCCGCTGTCACTGTTGCGGGCACATCCCCAAGGCTGGGGGCCATCTCTTGGGCCCAGACCAAGGACATGACTTTAGATTAAATTTAAGGAGGCATTCATTGGGAGAGCACAGGGAAAGTTCAAATTCTAAATATCTGGAAACAAGCACATAGGAGCTGAGCCAAGGCTTAATCTAGGGAACAGAAAGTAATAGCAACAAAATCAGCGCGGCCTTCCAGAGACAAAGCCATGATGCAGACAGCACCGAAGTCACTTTTTACCACAGCTATTCTGGGTGTCAACGGAGGGGCTGGTGGTGACATCGGCACAACGAGGCGGAGGGCGGGCCGAGAGCTGGAGCGACACAGAATAGTCATCTTCGCACGAGGCCTCCGTGGGGTCCAGCGAGATCTTGGCACACTCGATCACGACGTCGTGCGTCTCCAGCCTCTTCCACCTGCCGGAGCAAAGAGCATCAAGGCTGCTGGCCAGAGCCCACGCCGCCCCACGGCCAGATCCACAGGGAGCCAATTCGGTGTCAGACAGCGGCCCGTGACCAGCCAGGCACAGGCGGCCACCCAAGTACCACACGATGAAGAAGCAGCGTTCCTCGGCCACACCGCTACCCGCCTCATTCAGTCCTGTGAGTTATCAGAAACTGATCTGAAACAAAAATGTCACCAACGAAAGATGAGGCAGGCCTCAAAGAACACAGCACGAGGAGCAGCCGGGGGGACGCTGTCCTCGGAACAGGTACAGAACGGGGCACCTGAGACGTTCCGGGCAGCCGAGACTGGTGGATCCACCCCTCGGCAAGACAAGTGCCAGCAAGCTCGGCCCAGAGAGAGCAGAGGGGCTGCGCCAGCGCACCCTCGCGCCAGGGCGCCACTCCCAGCCAGCCACGGGGAGGCGCAGGCGCAGACGTGGCTCTTCGGGCTCAGGAAGGGCTATCGGGGGACGGCCGATGGGCTGACGGAACCAGGTCTGGGGCAAGGAAATGCTCTCCATCAGGACGGCAACTTTTGTCAAGACTTAGCAAAACTGTGGACTTTATTGTGTTAAGTCATACTTTACTAGAGTTATTTTTAAAATCACACTTGAAGGCTCGGTGGCATAAAACGCTCATGTGTACAAAACACAATCTGCTTGGAGCCACACCCACAATGGCCACAGCACCCAGAGCCCACAGATGAAGCGGCGGCTGGACAGGCAGCCGGCTGGGGGTGTGGACGCGGCTGGGGCGTAAGCCTGCCTCAGACCACCGGCTCGCTCTGCTGCGCGCTGCCAGAGTTTCTCACCCGCCTGTTCCACGCAGAGTGTATGGGAACCAGCCGGGGGCTCGGACGGCATTCTGTGGGACCTGGTCCCCGACATCTGACCCCAAGCCATCGGCCTAGGAGGCTCATCATTCCATCTTAGATGCCGAAAGGTGACACTGGACCCACGATGAGAGTTCGGGGTGTGGGGCATACAGCGCTTCCCTAAGGGCACCCCCGTGTGACTCCGGGGACTGAGCGCGAGCAAGCGCCTTCCGAGGGGAGACACGCTCGTGGCGAGGCAGGAACGCAGCCCACGCAAGTATCTCCTCGAATCTTCACGGCACTTTTCATAGCAGCTCTGAAACTGGAAAACAGCCTCCAACGTGTTTACTTGGTCTATTTTTCTGTCTCGGACGCACACACCCTGTATTTAACGGCATCTGAGGGACCACGAGATGGACCGAGAAGCCACACGGCGCTGCCGCGGCCCTCCGCCAGCCGGCCCCATCCCGCGAGTGACCCGGCACCCTGCCTCGTCTTTCTAAAGAACGTGCCTTTCAATTTCTCGATTTATAAATTTCAGACATCGCCAGCAACTTCCTGCGGCCAGAGCCCGGGCGGCACCCGGCCACCCCCTCTCCTCCCTGGTGCGCCCAAGACAAGCGTATCCTCTCTACTTCTTACAGGCAACTTTCAACAACTAACTGCTACAACCGCGAGCGGCCTCCTGCCTGCGCTGAAGAGTGCACCATGGTGGGCTGCTCGATTCATGGCCGCATGTGCTCAGTTTAGCTTGTCCCGGAGTTCGGGATTTTCTCTGTTTCTTAGTCTTCTGTGCATTTATTAATTCTTCTCAAACTTACTCTGACAGCTCTGAAACAACACCTAGCCTGTAATGTTACACGAAGAAGGGCCAAACAGCTGCTGGAATCCCCCTCCGCAAGGAGCCCCTTCCCTCCCCCCATCAGTCCGAACTGACTGTTGTCAGCACTGCACCCAAAGACCTCCCTGATCAGGAGCCAAAGTCAGTACCCCCTCCACTTCTTGAACTTTCTCTTTGGTTCCTCCTTGGGTTGCTTTTGGTGGATCACATGCTCTGTGGTTAGCTGAAGAGCATCTATGGCAAGTAAATCTAAGTCCTGGCAAATCCAAAAATGTCTTATCGTTGCAGGTAACGTTGCTGGGTATAGAATTCTGAGTTGAGAAAACTTTTTCTCTCGGTTTCAAAGGTGTTCTAGAAACTAACACCGCTCTGATGTCTGACCCTGTGTCCTACCTCACGCCCTCACGGGCAGGCGAGGCTCGGGTCGTGCCGGGGCTCAGCAGGCCGAGGTCTGCACACTGCATGCCGGGCTGCCTGCTCGCGTGCCACGCCCTGTCTGAGGCACACGCCCCGCCACAAGCACGTGCCCTTCCCCACACAGTGGCTCCGTGAGGAGGACACCAGGGTCCCGAGCAGGACCGTGTTCTGCCTCTCAGAGATTCTGTGCAATCTGTGCCGCAAGCTAGTTTCCGTACCTGCGAGGGTCCAGTTCGTGGTCCTTGGATCCAGTCACTAGCTCCGGATGGATTCGCACATGCTCCATCATCGGCTGGAAGAGTTCAGGTGAAGTTACACCATGAATGCATTCGACAGTAATGACAATGAACTACTGTCACAGGCTGCAATGTGGGTGCATCTGGAGACCACGTGTTATGTGCGAAGCCAGACACAGAGGCCACATCTCACACTGCTTCCTGTTTGTGACACGTGCGAGAACAGCCAGTCTATAGGCAGAATGCAGGCCCTCCCTGGTGGCGCAGCGGGTTACACTGTGAGGCTGTCCGCAGCCACTGCAGCGCAAGTTCGATCCCCAGCCAGGGAGAGACCCACCGGGCGCAGCAGACCCCTCCTGTTGCCCACTGCCCCCCTCAGCAGTGTGTTTCAGTGGACCTGCCTGTTCTCCCCATCTGTCTCTGGGGGTCCCCTCACCCCCACACCGCTGGCCTGTATGCCAATTCTTGTGTGCATAAATAAGTCAGCCTTAAAACAAAAAGTAAAGGCAGAATGCAGATGAGAGTATGCCTAGAGCCAAGGGGCGGAGGCGAGCTGGGGGGGAGACTGAGTTTCCTTTCCAAATCTCACTACCATTAAATGCAAAGGCTGGAAGTGCAGCCCGCCCTCCCAGCGTGCGAAGACCGAATGAGCAGTTTCCACTTACCCTGACCACTTCTTCAAAAGTCTCCAAGTTTTCCTTCATACTGTAGTGAGAGCGTAGAAAGGAGACAAAGTTGCAAGGGTACATTCCGTAGAGGCGGTGGAAGAGAGCATACACACTGGCGTGGAGGTGGACGAGGCAGACTTCTGTCACGTGGCCTGGGAAGGGAGCCGCGAGAGGAGCCTTAGCTGGACAGCCACGTGCGCGAGGCAGACGTGCACACACGGGAACCGTGCACATGCGCTCCCTCGCTGGCCCAGGGAAAGTGAGCAGCTTCTGGGACGCACGTCCCTGTGCACACAGCCCCTGTGCAAAGCCACAGGCGCACCATGGCCAAAGACAGGCCGCGGCCCGCAGGCTCTGCGAACGACTTTGCCTACCGCCCTCAGGGAGCGCCCCAGCATTCTGAGCACGGTGAAGCACCTTCACAATGACAGCCCCCCCCCGCCCCCCAACTGCTGGCCAGACGCCTGCGGCCCTGCTCAGAGTGAGTTTCTGAGAACAGCAGTGTCTCTGCTGGCCGTCTCCTGGGCGCCAGCCCTGTGCCCAGTGCCCATCAGGCCTGGTGCACGTGTCCATGGGCGGACGCTGCCCGCCTTTAGCAGTCGGCATCCACTCTTAGCTATGCACATCTGCAACTACAGAATGAAAACGTCAAGGCTGGCGCTGAAGGCTAGCGTGAAACAGAAACTGTAGCTCATGCAAGCGTGTGCAGGGAAACCCCAGAATCCACGTCCACCCTCGTGGAAAGACCCTTCCTTTCCTTTCTGCCCAGAGCGCCCGGGACACGAGCCAGCATCCCACGTGGCCCGGCCTACCCACAGGGCTGACCCAGGCCCGGCCTGTCCACAGGGCTGACGCGTCGCCCCGCAACAGGAACCCCATGTGCCGGCACTGCGATGGGCCTCCGGGGCTCTCCTGCTGATCGTTTTGGGGCCATTTGGACAGGGGGCCCGAAGGTGCACCAGGACACGCGGCCTCCCCCTCCCCCTCCCACGCAGACATGAACAGGCCCTCAGAACCAGAAAGACCAACGGCGCGGCACTGCCACCGGGACAGCGCTGCCCCGAGGCCAGGGCACCCACCCCTCCACTCAGGTGCTCGCTTGGCTGCTCTCTCCCGTCAGAGACGGAGACAGCCAGCGCTGCTCACACACGCCTCCACACAGAGGCGCCGACGCGCCCTCCCCACGGCGCTGCGGCACCGGCCGGCACCGGCGCGTGCACGGGCAGGCGGCGGGCAGCGGAGAGGGTTTCACCTGGCTTCTTGAGGCACCACGACGAAAGACGGCCAAAAATGTCAAAGAAATCGTGCAGGTGCTGCTTCCCCGACTGCGGGATCATCGGTAGCAAGGTTATCAGCACTAAGACGCCCGTCGTGAGCACCACAACATCCGTGTCTGTCTGCAGGGGAGGCGGGGTGTGGTGTTAGGCCAGATCCCCAGGGGACCACCGACGGGAAGGTTTGCCCCACTCGCTTCCCGCGCTTGGGACGGACGACACGAGACAGACTCAGGAGGAGCTGAGGACCGGTCTGCAAGACTCCCGTGCAAACTGCTTCGGAGGTGCATCTCTGCTAGAGGCCCGCACGGGCTAGGTCTTGGGGTGCTCGTCTACAGCACACAGGCTGGCAGCAGACAAGCTGGTATTTGACAGAGCGAAGGACCTGCTCCGCTCAGTTCATCCCACCAAACCTAACGTCTACTTCCTCCGATCAAGGGCGCCACTGCTAATGACAAGCTGCCGAACGTCAGGGTACAGCGGGAGCCCCGCTGCGGGTCAGAGGGGCCAGACCGAGCAGCTCACCTCCGCGGCAGCCAGGAAAAGAGGGGGGCTTCTGACCAGGTCTGCTGTTGGAACAGCAAGCCCTACGACTGCAGGCTGACTGAAGACACGTACTGCCCAGTGGACAGTGAACCGCCCAGCGGCTCCAGCAGCTCACCTGGCCCATAGTGAAATTGCAACTGCCAGCCAGATTTCAGCAACAAGATATTGAGCAAAAGACTATCGTGTCGGTAAAGCTGGCATCAATCCCATTTAAAAACAGGCTCCATGAGTCAGGAGATCGAGTTTTACATGTATTTAATTTTGTGTCAAGTACCGCGCCTCCCAGTATGGCGCTGTCCAGTGAGCACGTGAAGAACTGGTCGGAGGCCCAGAAGCAGAGGACAGTCCCAGTGGGAAAGCCTAACCCAGCTTCGGACGTCACGACCCTCACTGCAGGCCTGGACGACAGTCCGTGAGCCATTTCCCAGGCCCGCCCTTTGGGAAAGGTGCGTGCTCTGCGATGTGGGCTGCACGGTGTGCCTCTGAGCTGGATTATGCCCTCATCAAGCCATGTGCTTAAAAAGGAAACCAAGTTTTCCAAATTGTTCCTAGATGTCCTTAACTTCAACACCTGCTGTACCACAGCCCACAGGGCGACTCCTTGGGGCCAGCTCTGGGGCACACAATCACCCTAGGGGCGGAGACAAAATCAGTTTCATGGCGCTGCCTGGGTGCGCCCAAAGGCCCTGCCATCCTGGAATACATGCTGCTGGAAGTTTTCCGTCCCTGTGGGTACACGCAGTTAGTATTAGCCACGTTTTTTATTTTACAGATGGAAACCAGCCCAGGAGCCAAAAGAGATTAAGCAAACAGCCTGGGGCGGCAGCATACCACTGTTACATCTATGGCCACGCAGGTCTGTGGGGTTCTGACCGGTGTAGAAAGCTGCCCGATGCTAGGCCAAAGCGGCAGGGCACCACACAGGAGGTCCTGGGTCAACAGGTCCTGCAACAAGGTCCCTTCTGCTGCAGCCAGAACACTAAAAGGGCCTTTGGCCATTTTTCTGTTAGCTAGAGGGAGAATTTAGAGATGAAGGTTCCCAAAGAGAAGCCGGCATGTTTGTCACTGAAGGAGGAGCAGACGCTGACATCAGGGAGGGCTGGGAGAGGCTGGCACTGCCCAACTTGACTGTCCTCGTGTGGGCAAGGCACTGAGAGCCAGAGCCAGGCCCGGAGGACGCCCCGGGACCAAGCACGGGCCACATGGCACTGGGGAAATGCCAGATGCCGGGAGTTACATCTAGGTGCTTGCTTCCAGTCGCTCACGGTGTCGGAGAATGTTCACTAAGCCCTGCCCGGGCCTAAGGACGCCGTACCTTGAGACACTTGAGCAGAGAAGGCAGGAGGGGCGCTTGGGAGAGCTTGTGCTTCCACGGCGGCTGCAGCCTCACCACGTGCCCCAGGAGTGCCAGGGCGGACAACCGGCGGGAGGCCTTGCCCATGTACTCGTTCATTTTGTCCAGGAGGTGCTAGACGCGAAGAGAACAAGGGAGTCGGTCTCAGCAGTGGGGCACCGAGGGCGACTCGCCACAGGCACTAACACAAATAATGGCAGTCAGTAGCCGCACACTCCGGGCCCTCAACACCCTCTGACGGGGTGCAAGGGTCAGCAGGTAGAGGTCAAGTTCAAGGTATTTTTAAAGCCCTGTCAGCTGCACTTGGCTGGAGAGAAGGCAGTCAGTGTGCAGTGCCTGAAAAATGGGGTCCCCACAGGACAGGGAGCAGACCCCCATAAGGCCTCTTTCTAAGGCACACCCAGGCCACGTCACGCCGCAACCTCTGGGCCCGCCGTGGTCGTGGCTGCCGTGCGAGGGCCGGCTGGCAGCGGTGACGTATTGCCAGGGTAGCCCGCGCCACGGTGGCAGCACCGGCAGCAGAGACCAACCTGCGGCCGGGGGCGTGGGAAAGGCAAGGAGGCAAGGCCCTCCGTCCCGTGACCGCCGCGCTGCACAGAGGCCTCACGCCTTGCCCCAGCCTGCAGGTACAACGTGCCAACAGCGACTTACAGCAGGGAGGATGAAAGCAAAACGAATCACGAGGAGCCCCGAGTGTGGGCGTCAGCATAGGGCTCTCCGGAGCGCCCGCTAGCAGCCTGCTCTTACCACCTATTCCAGGCCTGCACTTCCTCTTGAAAGCTGGGGCCTTAGGGGTCTGAGTGTGTCTGAGTGTCGGGGCACATTTCCAGCTCTGGAGCGGTGCGGGTTTCAAGCAGTAAGAGCCTTACATGCCTCTCCTGTCGTCTGCTTTTCAGGAAGCACCGCCCTGCACCTCTATGCGCGCCGGTGCCGTGGCAGAGAGGAGGGGACCAGGCCGTCCCAGCAGGCACCGCGCAGCCGCATAGGACACAGGTGCGCGACCCCCAGCGGTACCTTGTCATGTGGCTCCTGCAAGGTGGTCAGGATGTGCAGCACGGGCTGAGAACTGGTGTCCACGTAGTAGTCCACCAAGGTGTTCACGAGCACTGGACCACGGTCTACATAAAGACAAGGCAAGCCACCAACAGTCACCCCCGCCACAGCCTGACCGCAAGGATGGCCGGTCACAAACGCCCATTCCACCTGCACGCTGCCACAGCTGCCACAGTGCGGCTTCTGCCCCGCTGGTGACTTGGGCTTAACAGACTAAGCCAAAGTGATATTTTTATTGCCATTTTAATTACAAAATGTAACTCGTGCCTGTCCTTAGAGATTCTGATCACAGAAGCGCTATGCACAGGCGGGGCCCTCCCACGCGGCCTGCGTCCCGAGCACCCACCCGGCCTGCGCAGGCACTGGGGTCGTCTTCCAGTCTCAGGGGGCGCTGTGCATGCCTGAGTGCCCCCTCGGCACCGACCTCCAGGTGCCCCAGCACGGCTCTGCACAGCTCACTTAACCAGTCACCCACGGAAGGAACTTGTTTTTTTTCCAATTTTCAGTGTATTTTATTCAAAGCTACCATGAAATCCAGATTCTTGCAACAGGCCCACAGTACATGTTTTTAAACGAATGATACCCCAAAAAGGCTGCCACCAGTGCCCCTTTACAGGATCAATACTTAGCTTCTGCCAGCCTGCTAAGCAAAAAGCGTCCTGTGCAGTCTGTACCGCTCCAGCTAAGAGAGGGTAAGCATTTGTCACCTTAAACATCACACACAGGATTTACAGATCAAGGGCTGAGTCTGGGGTTTTCTTTAAAATAACAGGGGAGCGGTCAAGGAAGTAAAATGAAGCCAGAGTGGAAGAAGCAAGGCAGTTGGGCTGGTGGGGTTCACGGCACGACCCCTCCTGCTGAGAGGATGCTTGAGAGCCTCTATAACGAGCGATCTGACCCAGAGCGGCCAACACTGACACGGAAACCCACTCTCGAGGCCGCAGCTGGCGCGGGGCGGCCCGAGGGCCAGGAAGGGCCCGCAGAGATGGGCGGCCACGTGCTGGAGTACTACCCAGCTACTGAGAACGATGTAACGGTGCCTTCTGGGAGAGGACAGCTGGACCCTGGGGCGCTGCCGCTGCGTGGAATGAACCACAAAGGGGAAGACAGTTTCCAGGTGGTTCACTCACATGTGGCATAGAAACAGCCATGAAAAACAAGTCGCAGAGCCCAGCAAAAGGAATTCTGAGAGTCAGAAGAACATTCTGGTGACCAGAGGGGGTGGGAGACAGCGAGGGAGCAGGGGAGGGAACAGGAAAGACCCCAGCCCTGGAGTGTCAGTGGGGTGCACTTAGAGAGGGGTAAAGTTATACTTCCAAAATTAGTTATGTAAGAGACTGACCCAAATAGTAATTAAAATATGTAAAACAGCACGCAAACGGACAAAGAGCACATCCGGCAGTTACGGCGGCTTGGCCACTCCCTCGGGAGGTGGGCGCCAGAGCGGCCTGCGGGGAGTCAGCGGCCATGCGGCCATGGGCCCCGCAGGAGGGGAGGGCTGCCTACCAGCAGAGAGGTTCTCCTTGAAGACGGCCGTCACTTCGTCACGCACGCTCAGCACGGGGGAGTCCAGCATGGAGAGGAGCTCCCCAACATTTGCTTGCTGGGCCATTCTCTCACGCTGTGCACCCCGCCGGGTCCAGGATGCGCATCAGAGGCTCTGACGGCTCCTCATCAGCGCCGCGACCAGCCTGCAGGAAACAGACCCAAGCAGACTGACCATGTCCACTGCCCCAGAAGACCCTGTGCCTGGGGCCGCCCTGGTGGCACAAGGGGTCCGAGCACAGTGCCATAAGCTACCGCTACCACTGCAGCGCGAGTTCCATCCCTGGCCAGGAGGGACTCCAGGGCCTAGCAGACCCCTCCTGTCTCCCCACTGCCCCCTCAGCGGTGTATTTCAATGGATCCACCTGTCCTGCTCCCCACTCTGTCTCTGGGGAGTCCTCTCACCAACCACCCCCCGCACCTCTGGCCTGCACCCCAGTTCTTGTGTGCACAAATAAACAAGTCTTTAAAAAATCTGCATCAAGATCTGCTTCGCTGGAAACACCGTGTCCGCTCCAGAGGGAACAAGTGTGACCCTCGTTCTGCCGGGATGATGCACGCTCTGCCGGCCTCAGGCCGGCGTGGTCAGCCTGCCGGTGGTCCTGTTCAGATGGCCTCCTGTCCCTCTGGCTGCTCCTTGTGTTGGCGGTACCTCTCGGCTTCCACATGTACAGCCCTCCCGGGGCCTTGTCAGAAGTGCGATTTCCTGCACCCGTATTTCAGAACAGAGTTTGGCTCAGGAGCCTGCACATCCGTAGGTTAAGCCCCCAGGCCGTTTCTGGTTGGGTGACCCCTAAGCTTTGCTTGAGAAGCACAGCTAAAGGAAACTCCTGCTAACGAGTAAGCTCCTCCTGCCAGACACAATACTTAAATCAGCAGCCGCTCCAGAAATAGGCAAATGTTAGCTTACTATGACCACACTCTCAATGAACCACAGCCTGGTGGTAGTCACTGATTTGGTTCTCAGGGAATCAAAAATCATTAGCCATATCAAAAAAAAAATTAAAATGTCTAAATTCATTACTGACAGCAAATCTCTCACAGGTAAATCGAAAAGGAAGTAGTCCTTCTCCTAGCTGGAGAAGGCCTGGCAATGTGTGACCACTACGGGCAAGATTTTAGTGTGAAAGACTCAAACTGAAATCAAAACCATCTTCACCTTATCAAGAGCTGAATTAGATGAAACCTCTCTGTGAAGGTTAATACCAACCTGTGCCCTCTGTGGACCACCTGCTCGCATTCACTCACCGCCAACCCCCCACAAGAGACTCCCAAACGTGGAAACCAGAATCCGCCACCCCCAGTTCTGAATCATGCCACGGCTTCCCCGGGAGGCAGGAGCGCCCGCCCAGGAGCGGCCAGCACCCCGCCTCCAGCCGCGGGCTCCTCGGCCCTCGACTGCCCTGCTCTCCGCCTTCAGGAGCAGGGACACCGCCCGAGGGCCGGCCAGCAGTGCCGCGGTCGGGCTGCGCTCTCCTTCCGCCCCGCCTGGCTGGCTCTCACAAAGCCACCCGACCTGAAGGGGCGGCATGGCTGCCTGTCACTAGCTCTGAATAAAAGACACTTTCCCATTCGCAGAAAACTCGTGACACAAGGACAAACTGCACATCAGCTTGGGTCCAGCTTGGGTCCACAATGGTGGAAACAGATTTACAAAGTCCACTTTTAGTCCCCTTAAAGGCCCAGAGCTGGCATCTGGCCCCAGCTGGCCTTGACCTCTAGAAGGTCTGGACTGAGCCAGCGCCCGCCTGCTGGGGGCGCAGCTGGCGGCCTGCTGCTGTGGCGCAGCGACCGCACGCCTGGGCCGCCTCACACGCTTCTGCCTCCGCTGACGCCGGGCGCTCGCTTCCAAACACAGGGAGAGCGCTCCCGATGTGTCTTCCAGGCCGAGATTCTGCTGGCCTAAGTATAAAGGCATCCTTATTTTTAAAAGCCTCAACAGTAAATGTTTATATTCAAAGACAATCAAGAAAGCTGACATATACCAACTAACAGCACGCATATGAAGAGACTAACTAGCTAGACTGCTGCAGAAGTTGCAGTCCCCACTCTGCGCCAAATGCTGGCCAAAATTCCAACAGGGGCGATGGAGCAGGAACTCAATACTCGGGTGACTGTGACTACCTTCAAGCTGCACGCTTGTTGCCTGTTTAACAAGGAGAATCTTAGTGTGAACACGGCATATGCTGCACAGATGACTCAAAAACAAAATGTCAACCTGTGACCTCAATTACGTGGCACAAAAAAACCTCAGACCACAGCTAGCAAGGTCCACAGCAAGTGTCCTCGAATCGCACGAGCGGGACGCAGGAGCGGCCGGGGAGCGGGCACCACGACACGCCTGTGCGCGGCCCCGAGACGGGCCGGCAGAGTGCTTGGAAGGGGCCTTCTGGCTCGGCATCGACGCAGACTCCCCTGGAAGCAGAGCGTGTGTCCGAGCGACTGCTACGGGAACTGAAGGCCTGCCCAAGCCCCGTGCTCCAGACACAGGCTCCTTCTGGGAACAACACCAGCAACTGAAAATGATATTCCGTGTTGCCCAGAAAGATCAGAGGCAGCTGAAGACGAATGCTGACCAGCTCGTTCCTACATCAAACCCTCAAACTTGAAAAACTTGGCTAACTGCAATATGAAAGCACCGCGAGAGCCTGAGCGCTGCGCAGCACTCAGCTCAGGGCTCAGGGCGGGGACACCGGGCCGTGCGGCACTGGGCTCAGATCCCGTCGGCAGGCTGGTAACACAGGCCAGGGGAAGCTTGAAAACGCAAAGCCAAACTCAGAAAGCTCCTTACAGCCTGCTGACAGAGCGCTGAGTCTCCCCTTGTCAGAAGCCCGCTACCCGTTTGCAGTCCCGGGGCTGAACAGACATTGGCCTCCAAGGCAAAGTCCTGACCTGATTTCATGATTCCCAGGCCATACAGCGAGGCTGGGGCAGACTATAGTGGACGGTGACCCAGACATGACATGCTGCCCTTGGCTGGGCAGCCTCGCCTGGCTCCCTCCACCCTTCCCACTGGCACACAGGTGCTCCTGCTGGCAAACACACCAGCTCAGCGAGCAGTCAGGGCCCCAAGCCGGCCCTACAGCCGGAGAGGCGCCTCGGCATTCAGGAAGGACGATCCTGGGACAGAGCCACCAGGTCCCAGACACCCCTGCAACACCGAATTCACCCTCAAAATCTAACTGACACAATGAACAGGTAGAGCTATCCTGAGGCAGGTGCTAATTCGGGGGTTCCCAGCCTAAGGCGTGCATCACAATCATCTACTGCCTTTAAGAGCTCCTAGCCCAGGCCCCACCTGAGCAGATTAAAGGGGGGCTTCCGGTCAGCACACCAGTCTCTTTTACAACCCAAGTGGATTTTCTTTTTAAAGATTTATTTATTTATGCATATAGAACTGGAGCGCAGGCCAGAGGGGCAGGGGCAGTAAGAGGACTCCCAGAGACAGAGTGGGGAGCAGGACAGGAGGATCAATAAAGTACACTGCTGAGGGGAGCAGGGAGACAGGAGAGGTCTGCCGCGCCTGTGGGTCAGCTCCAGGGCAGGGGTCGAACTCGCACCTAAGAGGCTGTAGCCGGCTCACAGTGCTGCGCCTCCCGCTGTGCCACCAGGGCCTGAGTGGCTTTCTAAGGCACAGCCAGGCTGAGAACCTCTGCACTGGCTCAGCACCCTGCTCCGGGACACAGGACTCCACCTGATAGAAGGTTAACGTCGCGGTCCGCTGCCAGGCAGCACTGCCCCGACTCTCCGGCCTACCAAGTACTAGCGTGTGAGTTTAGGAGAGAATGGCCTTTCAGAGCCCAGTGGCTCAGTGGCGAGTGGGGTTCACTGGAAGTGTGACTGCGCAAAAGGAAACGCACAGTGCACTTGGCATTGTCTGCTACTGAAGCAGCCCCCGACAGCGCCCCCCAGTGGCCTGACGACGGCAGCAGGGGTGGGCCTCCCTCCCACAGGCTACACCACCCACAAGGAGCCCGGCCCACAGCACACCTGACCAGCCCACCAAGGGGCTGAGTTTACCTCTTACCTGTTCTGGGGACAACTGGCACATCAGTTTCCAGTGCTGTCAACCTGGTGTCTCTCATGGTCACTGAAGGGGAAAAACACACATGTCATCATCTTGCTGTGAAGGGAATCGGTACAGTTGGGTGTTTTGGGGTCACCTGGCGGTCTCCCCACCGGCCAGGCAGGGTAGCTGGTTTCCACTGGAGCGAAATCCATGAGCCCTGGGCACACAGGCCTCTCCCTATCTGCACTCCTGAGCATCTGCATGCTGGAATGTTCTCCAGACGTGCCAACTTTGTACTTGCCACCTTCGTTAGCCGTTTATTAGTGCCAGGAGCGAATGGGCAGGCCGGGTTCTGGAACGGCATGCCACACAGAACCCAAGCTCTGCCACTTGTTAGCAAGGTGGCTTCTGGTTGTTTGGCTCAAACCGCTGGCATCTGGGCTTGTGCACCTCAGTGAAGGGGGAGATGGCTGGCACCTCTGAGCTGTGTGAGGACTGAGGGCAACGAGGCTCCCCTTCTCACCGGCCCCCCAAAAGCACCCAAGCCAAGCTCCTGAGCCCCTACTTCTGTCCCTGATGCGGAAGCATAGGCATCCCTATGCTGGGGAGTGCTGCCCACCCCCCTAAGCCTTCACCCTAGAAATTTCACCTTCAGCCGTGCTGTCAGAGAAGCCCTGGCTGCCAGGCCCCCATGCATACTATTAGCACCTCTTTCTCTCTGTCACTTACGATTCTTCATCCCACACCCCAGTTAAGCAATGCAATTAGTCGCTGAACCCTGAACCCGTCCCCTCACCACACCAAAGGCTACATTCAGGGAAAGGCAGCAGCTATAGTGTCCACCCGTGGTTTCTGAGTGACCCAGAGGTACGGTATTTCATGAGCGAATGCACAACGCCTAACTTTGCGTCTGAAACAGCACAACTTAAACTGAGCCCTCTAAGGACACGCACTATTCCCGACCAGCCAGCGGGTCTCCCTTCATGCTGCCTCACATTACACAGCCACGTCAAAGGCACACATAAAGACGCATGCTGGGCCCTCCCTGGTGGCACGGCGGGTTAAAGCGCAGCACTGAGAAGCTAAAACCACTCCCACCTAAGTTCGATCCCCAGCCCGGAGGTGACCACAGGGCCCAGCAGACCTCTCCTGACCTGCCCGCTGCTCCCCTCAGCAATGTGCTTCGACAATCTGCCTGTTCTGCTCCCCGCTCTGTCTCCGGTAAATCCTCTTACCGCCCCTGCACCTCTGGCCTGTACCCTAGTTCTGTATGAACAAATAAACAAATCTTTAAAAAAAAAAAAAATGCATGCTGGCCTGTTTTCCCGACTAGGCCTTCGGCACGGTCTCACTGCCAGATGGAAGCCGCCGAGACAGGTCCTCCAGCGAACACCTCAGAGTCCAGCGCATGAGAGGTACAACCCCACCCAGGTCCGCCACTACTTCATCACCCTTTGGTGGCCACTCCAGGCCGGCCGGAGTAGGAGCCTCACTGATCATACGCAGCAGGAAGGCTGGGACAGGCCCCTCCACAGGCCACCCTGGGCCAAGTCACAGCAGTGGGCTGCGCAAGCAATTCTAATGGCAGAAGTCTCCTCTCCAGACTGCGGGGAGCTCTGCCTCCTGGTGGCAACATTCTAGGCACGGAACACTGACAGGCCTTAGTGTGGCCCCAGTAAGCGCAAGACGGGCAGCCCTGCAGGAGGAAGCGCCGTGCAAAGCTCCTGGACAGGGCAGCACGCCGGCCACCGCCACTCCACAGTCAACAGCTGATGCTCTGCCTTCGGACCGCACCATCAGCTGTTAGTTTATGAGTCAGATTTCCTCTTGCCATTAATCCCAGTCGGATCTATTAGCTGAAAGGAGTGTCTGAAGCGAGCACACAACTAGGACGGACACTGCAGCCTGCTCCACCACGCGCACTGCCCTCGATAGAAGTGGGCCTGGGGACCGGGGTGACTGCATCCAAGGGGCTGGCCGACCTTTAAGCTCCCACCACTAAAGAAAGGGCCATGTGCTAAACCAGCAACAATGTAACTTCGACACTATTACACTTCCACTCCCCTGTCTGTTACACTGATACTCCCCCACCCTGGCTGCTACAGTTCCACTTCCACCCCCCACTCCCCGGCCTGGTACCCGTCCACTTTCCCCTATCTGGTGTACGTCCACTTTCCCCTATCTGGTGCACGTCCACTTTCCCCTATCTGGTACACGTCCACTTTCCCCTATCTGGTAC